TGTGACCACGAAATTGTTGTAGTCACGTATCCAGCTCAAAGGATGTGAATCTTGCCTGCTCAAATTGGAGCAATCTCGGATGCACGGTCGCCTCACTATTTCGCGATTCACGAAGGGCGGCCCTATCCAAAAGATGCGTTTGTATTAGCCAAGCTGCAAAGCAGAATGCCATTACCACTTTGTGAGTACGACTGCGGAACTGTACGGTGAGATTATTAATAAGCTTAACGGATAAGGAATCGAGTTCTATAATGTTGTAGCTCTACGAAATTACTGACCGCTGCCTCAGTGGAAATTGCTTTCGTATGCTTTTTTTTCCCCTACGAATTGTTCAAGTGTTTGTCCAGAGAGTATCTACGTTAGAAATTCAAAAGGTTGGTCCAGGTGACACCTCGTTACAAAGAGAGTGGCAATCACTGCGGTATCCACCCTTGGGCAGCTAATCGAGAAACTTTCTATCGAGAGTTCTGCGAGAACTCGATTTTGGTAGTTTTTTTTTTCTCGAACTGCAACATTTCAAAGCATCTCGAGATGAGTAACACTGCACTTGTTTGGTATCCCCGCCTCTCTCTAGCCTGGAGCATTGGCTGTCAGCCAATGGCTGATGATAAACAAACATACATTCTCATTGGCAACAATGAATCGTTGTTGAAGCACCAGTTTCCACTTGGTACTTATTGAGTAACGCTAGAAAAATTAAAAGCCACACCGGAGGTGATTAATCACGGCTACTCGGAGGTGGAGTCGGAAGGTTGACGTACTATTTAGTGACTTAAGCAGCAAGTACCTGTCATATGCCAGTAGCAAATAACGCAGAATCTCAACATTATTGAAAGGGATGAATGGCAAACGAGTAGCCCAGAATGCATAATGAGCTGAATCCTTAAACCATAAGAAGAAAGAAGGATATTTTTGATCGATAAGAAATGTCGATAGATTTGTGTCGTTCAGCGAATCTGCCCGGCTCAAGACGTTTTCATGTAAGCCATATGCCAACGACACACGCTTTTTCAATGATGCGACGCTGTGTTTGCCGTAAGCGAAAGCCAATCTAGTGTGCCAATTCTAAGGCCCTACGCTCTTTCGTTTGGCAACTTATGGAGGCCCTCAGAGATGGTACGACAAATTCGCAACAGTGTCGCTACCGAAACCTCTAGTTTGCTGCCTGGCTTCGAGCGACACTGGATTCGACTAGACAAGTACAAGTGTGCTGGCACTTCGTGATCAGGACGCTCATCGATGGTCACATACTGATCACAAACAGCTATCTTGGTGAAACGGCTGTCCTATCCAGATTATGGACGATAGATAAATTTTCATAAACAAGATGGTAATGATACGGTCCTTCACTTTCGAATTTCCGACATCCCGAAGCACACACTGTAAACTATATTAGTCACGAGCTACCCCGCAGAAGTACTAGCACTCGCTCATGGTGCTCCAGTCGATAACGACTATTCTCCAACTTGTAGCAATCACGGTGCTCCTTGTTGTTCCAAGAGTTGCTTCAGACGATGCTGTACAACTAAGCGAGTCTTTTGGAGGTCCTCACGGTAACGATTTCTCGGACCAAGCCGCAGTTGTATCCGGGCAAACCGTCACCTCTGTCACCATCCGGGCAGGCGATCGCGTCGACGGTGTTTCTTTAGTGATATCTGGACCAACAGCTCAAACTTTTACTCATGGTGGAACTGGCGGCACGGACAATACTCTCACCCTTGCAGCAGGTGAACACATCACATCGATGGAGGCCCATTGGGACAAGAAAGACGACCACACACGCGTTTTCTACCTCAGTTTCAGTACGAGTGCTGGCAACACCGTCTCAGGAGGAACTCAGACAGACTCGACAGGGTCGGCCACAGCTCCAGCAGGTTACCAGTTAGGAGGTTTCTTCGGTCGAGACGGCGATGAAATCGATCTGCTAGGTGCCATTTGGTCGAGTGTTACTGCTGCAGATACTGCACCAGGTACGGTGGTCCCACCGGATATTCCAGACACTAGCACAACGGCACCTGTGGCTCAAGCTACAACAGAACCCAGTACACCCGGCCCCATATCACAGACCTCTCTTGATCCGACATCGTCTGGTTCAGCAGCAGTAGCTCCTCCAGCTTCATCGGCAGGGTCAGGATCAGCAGTTCCGGTTCCATCAGGCTCTGCAACTAGTGGCTCATTGGAGGTGTCAGCATCGCCAACTCCAGCTCCAGCACCCAAAGCCTCCGGACCTGCTGTGCAGTTGAGTGAAACCTTCGGTGGTCCTCACGGCAACGAGTTTTCGGACCAAGCTGCAGCGGTATCGGGACAAACAATCACTTCACTTACTGTTCGAGGAGCTGCTCGAATCGATGGCTTCACGTTGGAAGTGTCAGCTCCTACAGCTCAAACATTCACACACGGTGGAACCGGTGGAGACCCGTACACACAGAAGCTGGGAGCAGGTGAATACATCACTTCCATGGAGGTGCATTGGGGGCAAAAGGAGGGCCATACTCGAGTCTTCTACCTTAACTTCGGAACGAGTGCTGGTAACTCAGTCTCAGCAGGAACACAAACCGACGAGAAGGGCTCTGTTACAGCACCTGACGGTTATCAGTTGGGTGGGTTTTTTGGCCGTGACGGTGATGAGATTGATCTTCTGGGTGTAGTGTGGACTAGTATTGCGGTTGTCGATGATACAGCCACTACAGCAGGCTCTGGTAGCACGGCAGCGGCCGTGACAGATGAAGATATTGTCCTCAGCGCACTATACGGGGGACCGCACGGTAACGCATTCTCGGATATCGACTCGATCAAATTTACGCAGACTGTAAGCTCCATTACTCTCCGCTCGGACAAGCGCGTGGACGCAATTACACTGCAGATCACGACTCCAGCAGAGGTGACAATGAACCATGGAGGAACTGGAGGCAGTGACAAGACGCTCACTCTGGGTCCTGGAGAATATATCACGTCGATGGAGGCACATTGGGGAAAGAAAGACGACCACACGCGGGTTTTCTATCTGAAGTTCACAACGAGTGCTGGAAATTCAATCGAAGGAGGAACCACGACGGATGATAATGCCGTAGCGAAAGCTCCTGATGGCTTCCAACTCGCAGGGTTTTACGGACGTGCTGAAGATGAAGTTGATCAGATCGGAGCGATCTGGACGAGAATTTCCGCCAAAGATTTATCGCTTACAGATGAGGAGGAGAGTTCGGGATCTGGTGTTTTGTTTGGAACTACGATTCGCAATTGGGTAGGCCCCACTATCGGACAACACAGTGATACCGCGTGCTACCGGAAATCGGTTGATTTCGACAGCAACAACATTTGTCCGTTGGGCTATGGCAAAGAGGATACAAACTGCCAGGCTCAGTGCCCGCTTTCCTATCCAATTCAATGCTCGTTGGAGTGTATCCCTCAAAACGATGACTGTGTACTTGAAGCGCTGTCCAAAATCGGGTCTGTCGTAGCCGTGGCGTTGAATGCGGCTACTGGAGGAGTGTTCGGAGACATCTTAGCGGCCTATAAGACTGCAAAGTGGGCAGTGACCTGCGCTGCTAACGTCGTTAACGTGGTCCGAGGACTTATTTATTATCTTCGATACCGACAAACCACGGCGCCTCAAGGAGATACCGCAGAGCTACTCACTGCAGCTTATCAAACGGACGTCGTGGTGTACGATCTCCCTGTGGCTGTGTGTGCCTGTCTCGGCTTACCTGTACCCAAGAATGCCAAATTTGCGGACATGGTACTCGTAATTGTCGAAGGTATCGTGAAACAGGCGATCACTAATGGCGATGAGATCATCTCAACGGGTGAAAATGTACTCAAGCTACTTACAGGCACTGGTGCACTGAACGGCACAGATATGACAACAGTTGACGATCTCCAAGACCTGATCAACACGAATTCCAGCTGCGGTTACGAACTCAAGCGCCTCACCGACCACGTCATTCGCCAGGTCAATGATGTACGCAATTCGACACCTGATGCCTCTCCTAACGACGTTCGTGTGAAGGTTTATAAATCCTCAATTGTGATGAATGACATCCCTGCTGTCACAAATCTATGTATGGGGGAACTTCTCGGCAACAAGACGATTACTGCTGCCTTCGAGACTCGCGATATGCTTCGAAAGACGTTCGGGGTGATCGTCGATCAGCTCATTGATACTGGCACCACCGATATGGGGAAGGATGTGGCTAAGGACGATTACATGCTGAAGGTGGCCAATATGGGTCTTGTGGTATTGTCGACAATTGATCCGACTGGTATCGCGTATATGGCGTCTCAGTTCGTCCAACCGATCTGTGGACCAACAGCGTATCTAGGCGAGATAGACGATGGAAGACTATCTGATGCGCTCGGGCTAACAACAGTGGATGAAGCATTCGTTGGAAGTTATGGTACGTGGACGAAGAAAGGAGACGGTGTCGTCCACCTCATCTTGGAGAGCGTGGATATCTATGACGTGAAGGTGGTGGTTCACTCGGGCGGTGATAAATACGCAGAAGTTAAAGTAGGAGCTGGTGAAACTGTGACTTGGGATGCCACAATTCCAGAGTTGCAGGACAAAACTCTTTATCTGGATCGCTGGCGTCCGGGAATTCTAGGTTTACCTGGTTCGGGAGGTGGATCGCTTTTACTATGGGTCCCACGATCGTCTGAAGGCGGCCACCTGGAGATGCATGTTCGGATCAACCCCAGCTAAGCCAGTGTCGACAATGTCGATGATGCCGTCATTTGTGTAGTAGTGTGCCTTGCGTTTAGATAGGTTTATGGCTAACTAAGTAAGTGTGCTGTATTATTCGTGAGCTGATGCCGCAAGGCATGCCCGAACATGTTACTATTCAGATACCCGTTGCTTTTTGCATTCGTGGAGGTAGTTGAAGTTGTGCTGTTGCAGCTAACCAAATGAGTTTTGAGTTTGACGATCGAACTTCGACCACAACGGAAACGTTGTTCATTCCTACTTTATGCACATCCGAAACTGGCATCTGCTGGTCAACACTTTTCACGCTTCAGTGTGGTGGTTTCATTGGTACCTCCTACGCTCGTCCGAACTTGCCGGTGCGGGTTGCACATGGTGGCATATCCGACGCTTTCGCAATTTCAAATCTCGCTAATCGAAATGGGAAGTTTTGCATCCCCCCAATCCCAAGATGTTCCCACGGTTGTTCATCATGGTACACGTATATACATGTATGGCTCGACTCCGAGTCGGACTCGAGGGCATGCCGCGTTTTGTAGACTGTGCTATTCGCACAGTCTTCAAAATCTTGACATCATGTTGTGTACATGTAACCTGAATAGATGAGGCAACGTCACCCGTTTTCCCTCGCCTTGAATCTCGAACACCCTACAACGTGCTTGCCTAATGCCTTGACACCATCTGCTCACTGAGCGACTCCAACACAATCAACTGAAGAATTCATAAATCGGCCTCAAGCTCACAGACAACATGTTGTCGCTATGGTACTAGAAACGGGATGAAATACTCCAGCTCTCAGTCTCCGATGCTGAACATGTAGTTATCTTCAAGTTAGATTCTCTTCGATTTGTACCTTCATGCAACGGAGCAACCAAAACAACCTAAGAATCAATACATTGGCATTCGTCGTTTGAGTATTCGTCGTTGAGTTGGACGTGGTCATCTCTGTCATCAGTGCTAATCTTTGTTCCTTATCCGGTCGAGACTGCCTTTCCATAAGGCGTTGCATGAGCCTCATACCATGAGGTACAACCTTGATTTCAACAGGGCAACCTGACATCGTCTGGTGAGACGTTAGCCTTGCACCACATGAACCTGCAAGAGCCCAGTCATTTTCGATTTTACTACCTCTGACAGCAAGTGCTGCAGATGCCATCGTCTCACATGGCGTTCTGGACTACTTTGCAAATATGGGTCTTCATGGTTCTAGTTGTAGTTGGTCGGGTTGCATCCGATGACAATGTACAGCTCAGCGAGACCTTCGGTGGCTCCCATGGCACCGAATTCTCGGACGAAGCTTCGGTTGTGGCTGGGGAGACTATCAGCTTCATCACGATTCGAGCTGGTGAACGGGTCGACGGTATTTCACTTGGAGTATCGGCACCTACTGCCCAAACATTCACTCACGGTGGGTCTGGTGGAACTGACAACACTCTCACACTCGGGACGGGTGAATACATCACGTCCATGACGGCACACTGGGACAAGAAGGACGGCCACACTCGCATCTTCTATCTGAGCTTCGGTACCAGCGCCGGCAACACGGTCTCTGGTGGAACGCAGACCGATTCGGCTGGGTCAGTGACTGCACCCGACGGCTTTCAATTAGCAGGATTCTACGGTCGAGACGGAGATGAAATTGATCTCCTGGGTGCGATCTGGGCAAGCACTGACACCGCCACCGCGGTTCCAGGTACTGTTGTCCCAGCTCAGGGCCCCTCACCATCAACACCAGCGCCAGAAGACTCGTCGGTGACTCAAAATTCAGTAACTCAAACCGATTTGTCATCGTCTAATTGGTCGGCATTGGGGTCCAGTTCGGGACCAAACGCAACAGTGGATAGTACCTTGGGATCATCGACGGATGATGGAACGCTTATAACATCCGAGCCGCCTAGTACAACTGCACCAACATCTTCCGGGCCAGCGACACAACTATCCCAATCGTTCGGTGGGCCTCATGGCAATCAATTCTCCGATCTAGCGTTAGCGACATCGGGACAAACGATCGCTTCTCTCATTATTCGTGCGGGTGGCCGTGTTGATGGTCTTACCCTCCAAGTATCTGCACCTACGGCCCAGACATTCACACACGGTGGAACTGGTGGAACCGAGAACACTCTCACGCTCGGTACGGGCGAGTATATCACATCAATGGAAGCGCACTGGGGTCAAAAAGACGGACACACACGCATCTTTTACTTAAGTTTTGGTACCAGTGCAGGGAACACGGTTTCTGGAGGAACAAAGACCGATGAAAGTGGCTCCGTGACTGCACCAGACGGGTATCAATTGGGTGGTTTCTTTGGACGTGACGGTGACGAAATTGACCTTATTGGTGTGGTGTGGACGAGTATTAAAGTTATTGGGGAAGGTAGCTCAGACAGCACTAGTACGACTGTATCCGATAGTGATATCGTGCTCAGTGACTTGTATGGTGGACCCCACGGTGTTGCGTTCTCCGACATCAACTCCATCAAGTTCGAACAAGTTGCAACTTCCATTACCATTCGTACTGACAAGCGCGTTGATGCCGTAACGTTGCAGATTGGAACTCCAGAGGAGGTGACGATAAACCATGGAGGATCTGGTGGAACGGATAAAACACTTACTCTCGGTGCAGGAGAATACATTACAGCGATGGAGGCTCATTGGGGGAAGAAAGATGATCACACCAGAGTATTTTATTTAAATTTCGTTACGAGTGCTGGTAACTCGATCTCCGGAGGAACACAGACTGAAGATAAGGCTACTGCTACCGCTCCTGATGGTTTCCAACTGGCTGGGTTCTATGGACGCGCTGAAGCTGAAGTCGATCAAATTGGAGCGATCTGGACGAGAATTTCAGCCAAAGATCTAGCGCTCACAGATTTGGAAGAGAGCGATAGTCTTACATATGGGTCTAGAACTATTCGCAATTGGGTGGGGCCTACAATCGGCGAAGCTGATGACACAGCGTGCTACCGGAAGTCGGTAGCGTACAATAGTACCAACATCTGTCCGTTGGGTTATGGCAAGGATGGAGACGACTGCATAGCGCAGTGCCCGCTGTCGTACCCTGTTTCTTGCTCTCTGGAGTGTATTCCTCAAAACGATGACTGTGCTCTCGAGACCCTCTCGAAAATCGGCTCTGTCGTTGCGGTGGCTCTCAATGCTGCCACTGCTGGTGTCTTTGGCGAAGTTTTGGCTGCTTACAAGACCGCTAAGTGGGCTATTACTTGTGTGGCAAACATTATTACGGTGATCCGAGGACTCATTTATTACCTTCGGTATCGGCAAACGACAGCTCCTGAAGGAGACACAGCAGAGCTGCTTGTTGTCGCCTACCAGACTGACGTCGTAGTGTACGACCTCCCTATCGCCGTGTGTACATGCCTGGGTATTCCAGTACCCGCCAACGCAAAATATGCCTCTATGGTACTTAAAGTTGTGGAAGGTATCGTGAAACAAGCTATCACTAATGGCGACGAGATCATTTCAACTGGAGAAAATGTTCTTAACTTGCTCACGGGTACCGGTGCGTTGAATACGACGGACTCTACAGTTGATGAGCTGCAAGATCTCATTGATACAAACTCCAGTTGCGGCTACGAACTTAAACATCTAACGGATAAAGTTGTTCGCTCGGTTAACGAGATTCGCAACACTACCCCAGGAGCTATCGTGGATGATATCCGAGTGAGTGTTTACAAGTCGTCTATTGTACTGAACGATATCCCCGCCGTCACGAATTACTGTATGGGCGAACTACTATACAACAAGACTATCACAGCTGCATTCGAGACTCGAGACTTGCTTCGGAAGACCTTCGGAGTCATCATTGATCAGCTTATTGAGACGGGTACCACTGATATGGGAGAATCGGTAGCTGAAGATGAGTACATGTTGAAGGTTTCCAACATGGGGCTTGTTGCGCTATCCGCGATTGATCCAACCGGTATCGCTTACATGGCATCGCAGTTCGTGCAACCGATTTGTGGACCCACAGCGTATCTTGGCGAGATCGACGATGGTAGACTTTATGATGCTCTTGGTCTCACGACGGTGGACGAAGCCTTTGAAGGGAGTTATGGAACGTGGACGAAGAAAGGAGACGGAGTTGTCCACCTCATCTTGGAGAGCGTGGACACCGAGGATGTGACGGTTGTGATCCATTCCGGAGGAGACAAATACGCCGAGGTTGACGTTGCTGCAGGCGACACGGTCACATGGGATGCCACGATTCCAGAGCTGCAAGACAAAACCATGTACATTGATCGCTGGCGACCAGGTCTTTTGGGTTTGCCAGGATCAGGAGGTGGCTCATTGGTCCTTTGGATTCCGCGGTCTTCTGAAGGAGGTCACATTGAGATGCATGTGCGGATAAACGTTAGCTGAGCTATGCGAAACGAAGAGTTAGTGGTGAAATGAATGGGTATGGAGTATATTGTTACAAGTTAGCTTGCTAGTATTGTTAAAACATTTATGTAGTTACTGAACAGGAGTTTGAGCTATACATTTCTTTTTTTCTTTTTTCATGGTTTTTTTTTTACGAACAAATGACAAGAAAGTTGAAATGGTTGTACTAAGTACCGAAAAACAACACAACAAAAATACCAGCGAAATTTTTCTCATGCGGAATTTCTTAATTACCGGTAAGCTGATCAACAGAAGGAACACACAGCTCGAACCGAGTAACTCAGACTGAATTCCATGCTTGTCACGAAAGCAATTTGTGATATATACATCGGTGCCTACAGGCATGCACCATTAATAACAGAACTTCTCATTTCGATGTTGCCCGCACCGCCGCGGGCTTCGTTAGTCGCAGATGGTGGTGAGTAACAAGGAATTGCCTGTTGTGTGATCAAGTGAGATGAACTGAGCACTGTTCTCGGCTCGCGAAAAATATCCGCAACGAAATGACAGCGAGAACTTCTCGCTGTCATTTCGTTGCGGATATTTTTCGCGAGCCCCATCTCAACCCTCTCCTGCTGTCAATTGAAGTGCGAAGCCCATACTGAAATGGATAGTCTCTATGCAACAGCACATCGCGGTGCAGCGTGGCAAACAGAGGCGTGACGTAGTTACACAAGGCGTTATTCAAGTGCCCAAATTTCACCATTTCGTCTTTGCCGCCCCCAACTCACGGCCTATAAGTGTGAACAGGGAGGTGACAATGATGTTTCGAGCGTTGATTTATCTTCTCCTGGTAGTTGTGCGGGGGACCTTTTCCGACGACTCAGTGCAGCTAAGCGAGAGTTTCGGTGGTCCTCATGGCACCGCATTTTCAGATCAAGCGTCAGTGGTAGCAGGACAAACCATCGGGTCCATTACGATTCGAGCGGGTGAACGTGTTGATGGTCTCACTTTGGAAGTTACAGGACCCACCGCTGCAACTTTTAGTCATGGTGGTGATGGTGGAGACCCCCACACACTTACGCTTGGTGCCGGGGAGTACATTACATCCATGGAGGCTCACTGGGGGAAGAAAAATGATCATACGCGTATTTTCTATCTAAACTTCGGAACGAGTGCTGGTAATTCGATCGCGGGGGGATCCATGACGGACGATAAGATCACTGTCACTGCACCCGAAGGTTTCCAGCTTGGAGGATTCTTTGGTCAGGATGGAGACGAGATTGACTTGTTAGGTGCAATTTGGACACGAATTGCTGCATATCCACCACCTCCAGCACCAACTGAGGCTTCCGCTCCAGCTCCTGTGCCTACTGACGCCCCAGCTCCAGTCCCCGCACCTTCTGAAGAAGTACCGGTTGGAACAGAAGTCCCAGCTCCAGTAGCAACAGAAGCACCGACTCCAGCTCCAGCTCCTGCTATCTCGGTGGAAGATTCCGTTCATCTGAGTGAAAGCTTTGGTGGTCCTCACGGTACCGAGTTCTCGGATGAATCGGCTGCAACTTCAGGACAAACTGTCGCTTCTATTACGATTCGAGCTGGAGAACGGGTCGACGGTGTCGCGCTCGAGATAACTGCACCCACAGCACAGACATTCAGCCACGGAGGAGATGGTGGAGATTTAAATACTCTCAAACTTAGCGAGGGCGAACATATTACGTCCATGGAGGCTCATTGGGGCAAGAAAGATGATCACACACGTATTTTCTACTTGAGTTTCGGTACAAGTGCAGGTAATTCGATCTCGGGAGGAACGATGACAGAAGATAAGAACTCGGTGACTGCACCCGAAGGTTTCCAGCTCGGAGGATTCTTCGGTCGTGATGGAGACGAAATCGATCTTCTCGGTGCCATTTGGACGAGTATTGAGCTTGTTACTACAGCTCCTACGCCGGCTCCAGTACCTGAAGAGGCCCCAGGAACGGTAAAACCCGCTGGATCGGGAGCTTCGGGAGGCACTACCACGACAGTTAAGCGAGCTACAAAGTTAAGTGAATCGTTTGGTGGGCCTCACGGAAACCAGTTCTCGGACCAACCTGCAGCGACTTCGGGACAAACAATAACGTCATTAACTGTGCGTGGTGCTAAGCGTATTGACGGCCTCACTCTCGAGGTTTCTGCTCCTATTGCACAAACATTTACCCATGGTGGAACTGGTGGAGACCCGTATACTGTAAAACTTAGCGCCGGGGAATACATCACGTCGATGGAAGCACATTGGGGTCAAAAAGATGGCCACACTCGCATCTTCTATCTCAATTTCGGTACAAGTGCAGGGAACACGGTATCCGCAGGGTCTCAAACCGAAGAGAAGGCTTCGATCACTGCACCGGAAGGCTATCAACTTGGAGGGTTCTTTGGTCGTGATGGGGACGAGATTGATCTGCTTGGTGTCGTGTGGACGAGTATTGAGGTGGTCGAAGAAGCCCCAGCTACTGCAGTATCAGCAGATGAAGACATCGTGCTCAGTGAGACGTTCGGTGGACCTCATGGAATCGCTTTTTCGGATATTAACTCGATCAAGTTTGGCCAAAAAGCGACTTCTCTTACTATCCGCTCTGACAAGCGCGTTGATGCTGTAACGTTGCAAGTTGCAGCACCCGCTGAAGTTACTATGACCCATGGTGGCACAGGAGGCACAGAACAGACTCTTACGCTTGGTGACGGTGAGTATATTACGTCAATGGAAGCGAATTGGGACAAGAAAGATGGGCATACAAGAGTCTTCTACGTCAGTTTTACGACCAGCGCAGGAAACACTATCTCGGGTGGAACCCCAACCGATAACAAGGGCACCGCTACTGCGCCCGAAGGCTTCCAACTAAGCGGATTCCACGGTCGTGCAGCAGATGAAGTTGATAAACTTGGAGTGATCTGGACGAGGATTTCTGCTACTAACATCGAGCTCACCAACCCTGCCGGTACAGGTAATGGCACGTACGGCACGACAATCCGTAACTGGGTTGGCCCGACGATCGGCGTTTCCAGTGATACAGCATGTTATCGGAAGACGGTGCCCTTCGATAGCAACAACATTTGCCCGTTAGGGTATGGCAAGGACGATGACGACTGTATCACGCAGTGCCCCATGGCGTACCCCGTTCGTTGTGCGTTAGAGTGTATCCCTCAAAATGACGACTGCGCACTCGCGGTCCTCTCTAAGATCGGGTCTGTAGTCGCTGTAGCACTTAACGCAGCTACTGGTGGAGTGTTTGGTGAGATTCTGGCTGCTTACAAGACGGCCAAGTGGGCGATCACGTGTGCTGCGAACATCGTGTCGGTGATCCGCTCGCTTATCTTCTATCTGCGGTACCAGCAAACCAATGCCCCGCAAGGAGATACCGAGCAGCTATTAACTGTGGCATACCAAGCGGACGTCGTGTTAATTGATCTACCTGTAGCGGTGTGCGTTTGTCTTGGATTGCCAGTCCCTAAAGGAGCTCAGTTTGCGGACACCGTACTCACTATAGTGGAAGGTATCGTGAAACAAGCGATCACCAATGGTGACATGATTATCTCAACGGGAGCGAACGTCTTGGATTTACTTACAGGCAGTGGCGCGATGAACTCGTCGGGTACAGCAGTGGATGAACTTCAAGAGATTATCGACAAGAACTCGAGCTGCGGCTGGGCTCTCAAGAGTCTCACTGATCGTGTTGTGTTCGCGGTTAATGACGTCCGGAACAAGACGCCTAATGCTGCTGCGAACGATGTCCGAGTGATTGTGTACAAGTCCTCGATCGTGCTTAACGACATCCCTACAGTGACAAACAATTGTATGGGAGAACTATTGGCCACTAAAACGAGGACAGCGGCATTCGAGACACGTGATATGCTCCGAAAGACCTTCGGCGTTATTATCGACCAGCTTATCGAGACCGGAACGACGGATATGGGCAAGGACGTGGCGAATGACGAGTATATGCTCAAGGTGGCCAACATGGGTCTCGTCGTGCTGTCGACGATCGATCCGACTGGTATCGCGTACATGGGCTCGCAGTTTGTCCAGCCAATCTGCGGACCAACAGCATATCTCGGTGAAATCGATGATGGAACTCTGTTTGACGCTCTTGGGTTGAGGACTGTGGATGAAGCGTTCGAAGGCAGCTACGGATCGTGGACTAAGTCGGGTGACGGAGTCGTTCACATCGTTTTCGAGAGTATTGACAAGGAGGATGTGACTGTGGTGATTCATTCGGGTGGTGACGATTATGCTGAAGTTGATGTCGGTGCAGGTGAAGTCGTGACTTGGGATGCCACGATCCCGGAGTTGCAGGACAAGAACATGTATCTTGATCGCTGGCGCCCTGGTTTATTTGGATTGCCTGGTTCCGGTGGAGGTTCACTGTTGCTTTGGATTCCGCGATCGTCGGAAGGTGGTCATATCACTATGCACGTGCGCATCAACGTTAGTTAGGAATATTGTGTTGTGATTTCCTTGTAGTGGAAATTTGTAGTGAAACGATGTCGTGAAAGTGTGTAGAAACAAATTTAGTAGTCTTTAGCTGCTCGAGTGTTTGCTCCATAGTCTACCTCTTCATCTTGATAGCAAAATGTAAATGAAAATATTTTTATGTGTGTTTCCGTTGAATCATAACTTGTTTCAAATAGAGTTAATAGCTCGAGAAATACTGAATGCTAATGCGTGTCGGGCAAGCTGTCGCTGGCGGATTTGATCTGGTTCTGGCATATAGCAGCGTGGGAACTGGAGGACGCGTAGAATTCCCTCCATGTCGGACTTCAAAAGCTGTTGCTGAAGTTCATCCAGGATGACAAGTGAGACGCTGAACATGATCCGCCAACCGTCAATGATAAAAATGTCCAATAAACGCGTCACGAGCGTCGGAGCCAACGTCTCAAATGATGAAAAGAACGTCAAGAACCATCGTGTACAAAATGTAGCCACGTGAACGCCCTCATTCTGAAAGTGCGTGTACAGCTCCGGCATATGCGTCGAAAACAGCACTTCAAACTTGGATAGATAGGGCTGAAGCACTGCCATTCCAGGCTCGTACAGATTGCGATCGTTCTCTGGTTCAGAGAACCCCACAAACAGCCAGAAAATATCCGCTTCGTCTTCGGCTACTTCAGCCAATAACCGCACCAGAAAACCCATTCCTTGGCAATAACCTACTCGCGGATTATATACGACGTAAGCGCGAAGTACGCGACGTAGCTTAGCTTCCAGTTCCGGATCAACTGCCGTCGTGCTGGGCTCAGAAGTACTTGCGGAGTTTCCCTCTCCCTCAGTACGTACAATAGTGTCAACCATCTCGTTCAGGACAGACGCAACGGAGTCTCCAATACCATTGTCAACATCTGAAGTCGTTGTTGCCTTTGCCACAACTCGCGTTTTTCTGGCGTGGATACTCCGGTGACAAGTACGCACGACATCAACGTCGATCTCCCGGAACCAAACGGCACGCTGAGCGTCATCGTTGCTCACTGGAAGTTCCTCATTTAGCCCATCAGCCAACTTCATATCCACTTTTGTCAGGAGTTGATCGTACATACTACACCGTCTGTCGGCGGAAAGGTAGTGCGATGCGATTGTACTAGATCGCCACGGAGTAGATTCGTAAAATACCGAGAGCCATAGCGAACTGCGAATCGCGGGAGATAGACCACCAGAACGAATGCATTTCTTCCAGATCGGAGCACTACCAACCAAGTGAGAGTGGAGGCGAAAGTTAACCTAAAAACAGTGTTTTTAGTCGCAGTTCTTAAAAAAAACAATGATGGCGTTCTTACCTTTGATAACCGCGCAAGGTCTTCAACACGTAGATACGATAGACATTCGAAGTACAGCATATCATTCTATATGGAATAAAAAGTTAGTTAAAGATTGCGACTGCGATTTAAAAAGGTCAAAGATATATGACAAACCTTTTGCAGTAATCCATACAGTTGATCTGTATTGGAGCTGACAGAATGTGCCGGAAGCAGCGATTTTCCGGGTGACTTGGCCTCCCTCACGTCAATTTCCCACAAGCAGTCCTCAATGGCGAGCCATTCTGTAGGAGATTGAGGAATAAACAACTGTTCGCCGCTCTGTAAAGATGTGATACAGTTAGCCTTGTTGTGAAGAGTGCAACAGTCAACGTGAAAAAAATACCTTTCTGGGGGAGTTAGTAGCACTTGGTCTGCCGCTTACAGCCGTATCGGTTGGCGCTGAACTCTGTCGGATAATTCTCGTCTCGCCAGTCGCGTAGCTGAGCTTGCCTTGAATAGTCTTGCGAATTGAAGACAGCATGCTGACAGTTCTTCGCGGTGTGATGGGTTTAAAGCTCGTAGCTCGCGGCGATGGGGACGTTGAACGACGAATCCGGTTAGACTCTTCTCCATCAGCCTGCATTCCTCGGTCATCATCGCCATCGTCGTTACTAACCACTGGGAACGATGCCAGTGTGGCTAACTTGGTCTCGTTAACGGATTTTGCTGCTATATGGTCCACTGCACCACCGTATTCACGCTTGACAATCTTACCAGCTTCAAAGTCCTCGAGAGTAAAAGATAAACCGTTATTTTCGTCGTCCTCGTCACTGCCTGACACCGTTTCGACACCGTCCGGAGCGGTAGATGAATTGGATCCATCCACCTCGGTCCACGCATCGGATGCCGAACTTGACATCTTTGTCAGCTTTGAATTCACCGACATTGATACGTAAGGGGGAATTTTAAGCGGCTGGTTGGCTTCCGCAATAATTTCCTTCTCCGAACACAAAAGACTGGACAAAACCGTCTCGTTGGCATTCCGAAAGAAAATCGCCGTTTGAAGGCGCTGTATCAAGTAAAACTCATGTCAGTTAAAGCTCCAACAGGGAGGAGCACAGTAAGCGCGGCAAACTGACCGTTGTGCTGAATAAATCCTTCGTAGTTGCAGCCCCCGATTGATTTGCGTGTTCTACCATATCCATTCACGCCATTAAAATAAACATAAAAATAAAAAAAAATTCTACAAAAGCTTACCCAAGTGAGGCAATAAGGACGCTTCTAGCTCCTGTAGAGCTGCTGCCACTCTGTGAAGAGCAAGCTCCGTCTGTTCTCGCTTATCGTCATCTTCGAGCCCCGACGACTGCATCTTCAGAGTCACCGTGCGCAGAATCTTCAACTCCGCCGCTAATTTGTTCCAAGCATTGATTTCCTTCCTGAGGTGCTCATACCGTTCCAATCTCGCTTGAAGAGGGTCCAGCACTGTAAACCGAATCGACTGCTCCATCCTCTCTGCTTCCCGCAGCTCAATCAGCTTCATCGCAGATTTATAGTCAACTCCCACGCAACTTTGCTCTGCATCACTTCAAAATAAAAAAAAATGTTAGTTAAAATAAAAAACATAAAAATATATTTCCTCGGTATCCACCTGCAGGTCTCAGAGAAGATTTCCGCCACTGTAGCCATCGTGGCACAAGCAACCTGCAACACATTTTTTTTAGTAAAATAAATAAAAAATGATAAAAAAAACTTCTCTAACATAAAATACTAATCCACCTGAATCTGGTCCAGCATCTGTGTCAGGTGTTTCTCGAGTCTTCTGAGAGCTTTATCCTGACGATTAAAGTGCCACACAGCCGCCTCGAAACGCGTGGCGTCCTCCTTAAGCGGAAGCAGCTCTTCCTCCTCCTCTGGCGTCTCCTTGACGCCGCCACGCGGTGCATAGCGGCCGATTTTCCTCCTCAATCCCTGCAGCATCTTGACTTCTCACCCCCTTCCTCCTGTTTTTTTTCTTCTTGGTGAGCGCAGATGCGCGTGATTGGCGCGGCCAACAAGAAACTCAACGGCAACAACGCGGCTTTCCTTTTCCCTTTGGTCGTCTCATCGCAATTTTCCAGTGTAACGGCTGGATTTTATCGTGATTATTGCCAAAAACAAAAAAGAAAACGTTTTGTCATTTGCAATTTTGCAACTCGAAGTTGATGGGCTTGTTCCGACGGAAACAGAAAGCGACAGATGCAGGAGAGAAGGCTGAGAAGGTTGACGCTGACATCCCACCGCCGCTCATGACGGTGCTCAAGTCGGTGCAGGAAATGGACAGGAAACCGCCCGTGACGCTGTCACTCATGGGTTCGTTTGGCAAATTTTTATCATAAACACTTCGTCGCAAGTGACCGTTTGGTGCTGGGGTAGGGGTCATGTATTTGCTTCATGTGCAAGTCAAGAGGACACCATGGTTGTTGCTGCCATTCTCATTGTGAGTGGGTTGTTCGGGATGATTTAGCTGTAAACCTAGTGAATGTGCTGACTGAAACTTGGTGAAGATGTCCGGGCAAAGTGGCGGCTAATAAGGAGATTAGAGCGGTGTTCATTGCACCTTTGATCCATTCGGAGGAGTTGTATCTGTACCAGAGCTTGTGAGCATGTGTGGCATTGCAGTTGCGATGTGCTCAGCCTAATTCCGCGTTAGATTGTCTTTCCTGTGGAAAGGGTACAAGCTCGAAGGACGACTGGGCAGCATTGGCTTCTGCATACTCTTGGTCTATTTGATTGTGCTGTCTCAAATCCTCATCGTGTTTGGAGCACATTTGATATCACTGGTTCGTTGCTGGATGGTTGCACAAAACTGCAGTTCTGATGTGGATTTTGGTAAAATGTTGTTATAGGGGGCAACACGTGAATGCTTCACTGGGTTTTCAGGAGTGCTCACGGCGATGAAGGTGTTGTTTTGATCATTTCTGACAGTGCAGCTGTGTTTTGACTCATTTGCATCTGAAACTTGCCAGGTGATTTTGAATGTCAACTCGCCAACCTTTACGAAGCTTTACAGTTTCCAAGTCCCGACCAAGTACGCAGCGTGGCTTGAGCTGTTTGTCACGTATCTTCTTGTCCCGAAGTTGCCATTACTGGCTCAAGCCGCTGGGCTCATTGCAGGTGTGTTCTTGAAAAAAAAAAAAAAAAATACTACGTAGTAGTCTCTCACCTGTTGCTTTGCAGGATATCTCTACGTCGTGACCCCGAACTCAGAAGAGCTTGTCGGGTGTTTATCGCAGCACGTTTATCGACTTCTAATTCGAGTTGGGTTCATTAAAAAGCCTGTTCAATGGTGGCAGATCTGGTCAAAATTGGTCGACTCGATGCGACGAAGGAAACAGCGTCGAGCACGACAGGAATCATAGCAGACACAGATTTTTTTTATGATAAAAAAGGTAAAACTACGAGTGGCGGCCTTAAAAAAGGTGTTGGAAGCTCTCTGGCTGTATGATGTACTGCGTGGCCTCGCCTCCTCCTCTGTTGTGCTCTTCCAGCATGAAAGTCACCACTCCACAGTTTTTCATTTTGGTAGATTTGGCCTCGTGGTACACGTCTCGAGGGAAAAACTCGCGAAAGAACGCACGGAACCATAGTGAGTGGCCGTACACAACCACTACGTTATTTTGCTGCTTGAACACCCACTGTGCGAACGTCATCAGGCGGTCACGGCCACTGCCCAGCACCGCCTTATTGCCATGGCTCTCCGCCACGTTAAACAGCTCCTCGTGGCGCTTCTCTCCACGTAGACCTTGCACTAGCACCTCAGGTTGAATGGTGTGCGGCTGACTGATGGCCAAAGTGTCGAAGTTGCGGCCAATCTCCTGCAGACACGAGAGCACATGGATCCTCTCGTCTGGCACCTCCAGTCGAGATGCCGATGCGATGCGCGCCGTGTCGATAGTACGACGCAGATTGGACGTGACCACGACGCTACCGGGCAGCGGGCAGCACAAATAACGCAGCAGTGCGTTCTCCTCCGTCTGATGCGAAGAGTGGTGGTGATAACCTATTGGCGGTGGCATATCTGTTGTGTATCCTGCGTCTCCACTGACATTTAGAGTCGTTTCGCACATGTGGTCGTGCAGACTTTGTGCTTGGAAGCGGCCACGGCGACTGAGCGGTGAGTCCAAGAAGACAGAGTCACCCGTGGGAAGTAGCAGCCACTCACGCACTATAGCGCGCAGGAGACTCACCAGCATGCGGAGGTTGATGCCGCGGTTGAAGACGACATTCCACTCGGATTCGGCATGGCGGACGAACAGGATGCGCTTGCGTTTGGTCACAACGGCGGCAGGCTGCGGGTCCAAGAGCAGCGCAGTTGAGTCAGCGCTGGCTTCGGTAGTGTCGGTCGCTGCCTGCAGCCAGTGCTTGTCGCTGGAGAACAGGAGATGTAGCAGCGCCACGCAGAAGAGCTGCAGCTTCCACGCGGCGTGGTCGGCTGCGTCCAGCAATGCGGGCCACACGCCGAGAGAAAGTAGACGACGACGCACACCACGATTCATGCGTAGATGATAGTTCTTGTGTGTTCAGTTGGTCTCAAGTGTTGGACAAGTCATCAAAGCAGCGAATCAGATTTGGCCAATTGTAGATCGGGTAATTGAGCGTGACTGATTCACAAATTTTGGGAGACCGATTCTGTAGAGATCCTCCAAATTTGATCAACATTAACTTCACATGCCAACATAAATAAATTTTCGGGTTTATCAGGACTTTATTGTTCAAGCACAAAGTAACTATAATAAATATGAATATCAGATACCACGTGTGTTTGCATTACTGCCGCCACCCCAAGGTGGAATATCCGAAACGAGTGAAGCTTTTGCAATCGATCGTATCTGTGGTTGTGAAGAAGTGCAAGTAGTATCATTACATGTACTAGTGTCTTGCAGTGTATCGCACTAACATAATTAGTTTGTTTGCATCGACTGCACGTATTTGAACACTTCAAGGACATCATGCGAGGAATGTGAAGAACACATTGGCATTGTGACAAACCGAACGCGCTGTGTAAAAGGTACTCGAAGTGCTTTGCTACAGTAGTAGCCCCATTGATATAACGATCGCAGTAAAGCGGCAATTCTAGGTTTGCAGTGCGATCGCTGGTCGCAGTCGGCCTTGGAGGGAGTAAAATCAAAGACCAGTGCAAAGTTTGCGTGTAAAAGAAAGAAAGGATAGCTTGCAGGGGAACGAAGATCGACTCACTCATTTTCCGTTTTCATACAACTTCATCTTAATTAAGAGGCGTAGGTTGTCCAGTCAAGCAGCTCTTCAATTGTCGATTAATCTACCATCGCTTTCGTACGAACCCGACACCCTTGACACAACCACCATGGACAGTTCGTCGAACGGCGCTATTACTTCACCAAGTCCTGCAATGTCAGCACCGTGCAAGAGAAAACAAGCACCACTTGAGGTTTCTATGGACAAAGAAGACGAAGGAGTGAGGATAGCATTGCTTTCGTGGCTTAACAAGCGCCATACTGGCTCACAAGATGATAGAGCCAGTCCTTTAACTCCTTCAGAAGCGCTATTCTGCTCCACTTCTCAAGATAATGGTGCACCAAACGTGAGGATCACCGTCCAATTCTCGGCACCTCCGCAAAAACGCACTTCGAGATATTTGTGCGAGGGCGATCGACGAGAAATTATCAAGCGGATTGACGACGGTGAACAACAAGCGGCACTTGCAACGGAGTTCAATGTCAGCCGTGCTGCAGTCTGCAATCTATACAAAAATCGCTGGGACGTTCTCAACCGCGAAGTCGCTGATCCGAAAGCCAAGCACCCGAAGAAACCCCGTTACAGAAAATCTATCCCGTTGCTAACTTCATCGACCAATACTGCAGCATTTGTTGTCGAACGGATGACAAACTCGTCAGCTATTTCACCCATGCTGGCTAATCCTCCAGTGAGCCTCAGCAATGCAAGCGTACACTCATCAGTACAGTCCGAGATTTCGCCGAGTGGAGAGGATAAGATTCGAGCAGTAGCTACCGGTCAAGATCATCGTCGAGATCAGCAGGACCAACTACAAGATCAACGCAGCCAGTCGAAGCAGTGTGGCACATTGAGCAACTTGGCGGAATCCAGACCATTTTTCGTCCATGAAGCCTCAGCGCACTCCCGTCCGTGCAGGAACTTGGTCGCGGCGTTACGAGATAAAGACATCAGCTCAATACTATTCCAGCAGCGAGCGACACGCTTGGTGAGGCTCCTGATCGAAGAAGCGCTCACATGTTTGCCGCACGACAGCAAAAACGTCACGAACCATTATGGAGATATCTGCTGTGTGACGAAAACACTAGACGAACGCGATATCTGTGGGGTTTCTATGGAAGGCCGCGGCAGTGTGTTGCTCCGAGCGTTCTCGGACATTAACCCGGCATCGCTTGCGGGTATCGTGTCCATTGATAAGCGGGATGATGGTTCGCTATCGTCTGTGAAGGCACACCTGCCGACTATCAGGATGAACCAAGTCGTCTTCCTCTTCGACATCCAATGTATTACCGGAGCTGCCGCGTGTACTGTGCTCCATTATCTTACTCAAGATGAAGAAATCGCTGCTGATCAGATATATTTCGTAACATTGATCAGCTCTTTCGAAGGTTTGAAACAAGTGTTCAAGAATTTCCCCGGTAAGCCACTTGCACATTCAGCTTAAACCACCTCATTATTTTTACGCCATCTTGTTACATTGCAAGAGTTGCATTGGTTACGGCACAAGTTGACGTGTTGGATAAAAATCAGTGTATCCGCCCAGGAATCGGTGACTTCAATCAGTGCCTTTGGAATGTCGAGGGAAGAATCATACTGTAGTGTTGGTGAATCCTAACCAGTGCCAGTCTGGTGTTTCATATATGACCGCAGATAAATTACGCGGGTCGTAATGAACTGTAATTTAGCAGCGACAGTACAACTGCACACTTGTGTAGTAATTGCAACGGCTACAAACTGAAATTAGCTGTTACCAGAAGTTAGGTCACGTTAAGTATATCGTTGTTCCGTCAAAAGTAGCAGAACGGTGTGGGGTGCATATCTCATACATGTACATGGCGCACGATGTCGCGAGGTCGAGGCGTTTGTTTTAATGACGTGCAAACTTCAACTGTTCATTTGAATGTTCATTTGTGCGAGTTAAGGGACACATACATCATGCCCGAAAGGTGATGAACACGGCACAAAAGGAATTCCTAGGATGTTAATAAACATTGTGGCTTTTGAACTGCATTTCTCGACGTGTATACACTTATGCCAAACTTTTGTTTTTGGCGATGTTCCATGCAGCAATTCGCCGGTGGGTAAAACCACGCATCAATGATTTTGTTGAAGGTGCAGGCCTAAAACATCAATGCTGGCATAACGAGGTGGTAGGCTACACGTAGAGTCAACTATACAACGTCACTGAGAATCCATTTTCGCAATACCAATAGTGACGTGTACCATCGAGACGATGCTAGGGCCACGCGATCAAAGTTTGATTGTTAGTAAGCCGCACCCAATAGTCTCTCTACTTCAAAACAGCGATATGGTTCCCAGCGATCCCTCATTCGTGTTTTCGCGCCGAAAGCAAAGACTGGCATTAAGTGAGATGAAAGATTCCACGGAAATATCGAGCACGGAATTAAGGCGAGAAGCTGCCGTTCAAGTCGAGATCTCAATCTCACATTCCACTCCAACGATGACCACAGAATATCGTTCAAGCGGTGACGAGTGCAAGAGAAAACGAGATTGCGTTGAGGATTCGGCTAGAGATCCGGACAGGAAACTGAAAACGGCCCTACTGTCGTGGCTTAATAACAAGATTTTTGACGACCAAGACCAGCACGAAATTACTCCTGAACTGTCTTACCAAACTACTGATACGCGGGACGTCAAGATAACCGTCCAACTAGATACCCCTCGACGCAAGCGCACTTCAAGATATTTATGCGAGCGAGATCGATGGGAGATCATCAAGCGGATCGAAGGCGGTGAGCAGCAGGTTACTCTCGCTAAGGAATTCAGTGTCAGCCGCGCTGCAGTTTGCAATCTCTACAAAAATCGCCGAGAAATACTTGCCCGCGCTGCAAATGACCCGAAAGCAACACACCCAAAGAAATCCCACAAAACGAAAGCTAGCTCCATGCAGCTTCAATCGACGAGCTCAGTTTCTCCAACGGATAAGGAAGAAGCAGCGTTCCCTCCAAATTTACCAGGCGATATGGGTCAGGAGGATCTCGACGGATTTCAGCTTCGATATTCTCACAACGATGATTCAAGTAGTATGTCCGGGACTGAAGATGAGACTACTACATCAAACCAATACAGGATCCATGCAAGTGACCAACGAGATCCCATTCAAGGTATGATGCAAGAGCTGACAGTTTCCCTGCCATTCCAAGTACACGAGGCCTCGGCACGCTCACGCCACTGTATGAACTTGGTCGCGACCCTGCGGGATAAAAACATTAGCACGTCGATGTTTCAACAACGATCGGCACGCTTGGCACAACTACTGATTGAAGAAGCTCTGGCATGTTTGCCACACGATACCGTAGACGTCACGAATCAGTGTGGAGATATCTGCCGTGTGACGAAGACACTGGATGAACGCGATATCTGCGGAGTGTCCATGGAAGGCCGGGGGTACAGTATTGCTTCGGGCCTTCTCAAACATCAGCCCAGCATCACCTGTTGGCATCGTTTCGGTTGATTCAGAAAATATTGGCGACTGCGAGTGTTTGCCAAGCGTGAAGGCTCATATACCGATAGTACGCCCGGAACAAGTTGTGCTTCTCTTCGACATTCAATGTGCAACGGGAAATGAGGCATGTGCTGTGCTCCATCATCTCATTCACGAAAAACAAGTTGCCGCTGATCAGATTTATTTCGTGACGCTGATCAGTTCCCTCGAAGGATTACAGAAGGTATCTCGAGGATTTCCAGGTATGCGTACACTACAGAAAATCATAGATACCAATATCTATCGCTCACGTATATATTTGTTTCGTAGGTGTGACGCTCGTGACAGCGCAAATGGACACTGTGTTGGACGAGCAACAACGCATTCGACCTGGTATTGGCGATTTCATGCAACGCTTCTGGAATATTGGAGCAAACGAATCTATCGTGTGAGTGCCTAGCAAAAACGAAATTGTTCTATCCAAATAGTACTATTGCCGAACGACAACCTCTGCTTGAATGTGAGTTCCATGTGTCGTGTTGCTGTAACACAAAGCTGGGTGCCAGTAGCACGTCGACTTACGTGAAAGAGATCTGTAGCAAGGAATCGGGAATCAACGCGAAGTTACTGGGGCTTGGAATCCAAGTTCTTTAACATACAGTTGGAGTGTCTATTTAATGACGTGGTTACCACGACAAAGTTTAATGCTGGTTGTTTTATTTTAATAACATATATGTACAGCATTACGTGTACAGATCAATGAGTTTGGCACGCAAGCAGTTCTTGGCAAGAACTTCCTTGACGAGCGGTGGTACACTGTCACTCTCCGCGAATTAATCGGGTTGAACCGGTGAGGGGCATCACATAAGTTATTTCGACTTTGGAATGAATTAAAAGTAATCAAAGAGCTACTTGCTACTTAGTAAAAGAGTTTACTCTTTAATTACGGCTTTCATCAAAAACAATAACTAGAACACCTTCAACATCTCTGCGGAATTGGATTTAGTTAATTGATTTCCTAGTACCCGTTCCCAAATCGAGCTAAACGCCGGCGTCGAAGTTCGCTTGAGCTGATGTGCTCAGGTACAGATTGTTCTGGGTATGATTGTGGAGGTCGATTAGCTCGGTATTCTTCTTCTTGAAGACGTCGCGCTAGGTCTTCGTCTGTCTCAAAAGAGGAAGTTGGCGTCCTCGAAGGACGTGGAGAAGTAGTATTGTCGCGATTGTTGATGGGTCCTACAATTGCTCCAATCCATCGACTAAGTGCACCAGCTCCAGATGATAAAATCGACTGCATCGCTGAAGAATATACGTAAATGTAACCTGTCAAATAGGTACATGCAAGTGAGTCTTAGTTCACCAATATAAAATATAAAAATATTATCCATCGTACTTACCAGCTAGAATACCACACATGTGGCCCATGAACGAACTTCGCGGCACCAGGAAGTGAATCACTACTAACTCTAGCCATGCTGCATATTTCGTGGGCACTCGAAAGCCGTACACAGACGAAAATGTTGGCGAGTTATGATTCAAGAGCACCTAATATTACACAAAATTTAAAAAAAAATTACTCAACCATTCGACAAGCGCACAACCCAACTTCTTCATTACCTTTAGAGCAAAGAGTACCCCCGAGAAACCCACACTGCATTGATACAACGGTCCCTATAGTACACAAATGTAGTAAGAACCGTGACGTTTTTACAATACAGATTAAATGATGCACGTACCGGCATTTGGAACCCCGTTGCAAGTACGACTGCCACTATGACTACGAGTACATGACACAGAACGAGCAAACACCCCACTGTCAGTAGGAAGCGCACACTGCCCATCTTGTACTCGAGGTTGTATCCTTTCCACAAAAACGAAATCCTTCACAAATAAAAAGCATTAACAATTCAGCATTTTCTCGTTATAGCTATTTTCCTATCTATTCTTTTTGTTTTGCACTTACATGTTATGGTACAAGTGCCAGTCGTCCACGTGGATGAGGCCCGACACCACAATGCGTGTCAAGTCCCAATGGCCAATAACTCGGTCGGGGCATCTGTAGACAGCATTTCAGCGTCAGGTTTCAACCTTGCTGCACATTGCAAATAATTGGCTTACAGTGAGTATGGGGCGAAGATTTCCGGTGTTTGCTGCTTCTGGAAGTGGAGTCCATACATTAAAGCTGCCAGAAGCACCCGGATTTGTTATTTTGACGATGCAAACGGATAAGGAATTGCTGTGTACCCATGAGCCCAAGCGTGACCGGTGGCTTGCGCTCTAACTGCTGGATCTGCTGCATGAGCATGAGCATCAGCGCGATGCCCTGGCCGTTGCGCCCGGCGTTGGGGCCCATGCGCGCGCGACGCCCAACATTCGGCCTAAACATGATGCTTGCGGCAAAAATGGGTCAAGAATTTGACCGTAAAATATTTATTTTTATGTTGCACGTAGGATATTGTTATGTTGCACGTAGATATATAGAAATCTGTAAAAGTACTTTGTATAGAAAAAAGTGCGCATTGGTTTCGGCCACTTTTGATCTTTTTTTATTATGGTGCCAGCAGGAACAGTGTGATCGTGCGCTGACCACATCAATTCAAGTTTTAAGCCCGCAAACTCTACAGCGACATCGAGAGGTCAACTCTCTGCATGCATCTAGCGATGGTAAGCCTGCAATGTCGATGACAACGCATGCACCTTCGTGAACTGCCCTCCGTGGACTAAACATTCCTTCTGGTGCTCTGATTAGTCTGCTGTAAAAAATAGCCCTATTTTTTTTCAAAAAATTAGGTTTGTCGGAATTTGTCTTCAGAGTTCTGTGTGAAAATCTCTAAAATCTCGAAAATTCGTGTACCGTCAACTTTTGTACCATAACCAACATTGTACGCTCTCAAAAGGGCTCACTTCGCAATTCATCATCCAGAGAAGACTTCGAGGGTAACAATGCTTCCGTCTTTTGCGGATCTCCTTCCTATACCAGAAGAGCGTCTGCCGACCTACGTCGTGGCCGCGCTCGTGCTCTATCTATCTCTCCGTCCGCTCTTCAATGTGGATAGAGCGCTCGCCAAGATCTGGCCGTCGCTGGTGCTTCTCTTCGCCTACTACCGCTACCGTCTGGCCGTCACTTTATCGCCCACGAGTTTCTTCCTCCAGCTCTGGACGGCAGCACAGCAACGCGCCCCCGTCGTCGAGGCAGTCTTCAGTGACACGCTGGTGCTCGTGCTGACCGCAACTGCCTTCTCCACCGCTGTACAAACCGTCCGCCATATGCGCTACGTATCTCGCAAGAATCTGCTCAACGTGGTGGGCGGCGCGGTGCTTAATGCGCTCAAGCAATTGCCCATCATATCCACCAAAGTAGCAGACGAGATGCGCAAGATCGAGGGCGAGGTGGAGCACTCGCTTAAGGGCAACGACCCACTCTCTGCCAAGATGGAGAAGCTTCGCGCTTTGCCTGATAAAGGGATGGACGACAATAAACTACTGGCATTAATGGAAGATCTAGCAGGCAACAGCGACGACAAGTGGAGAGACGGACTCGTGTCTGGCGCTGTATACCACGGCGAGAAAGAGCACCTGGACGTGCTAAACAAGGCGTATGCGCTATTCGCCGTAACTAATCCGCTACACGCTGACTTGTGGCCGGCGGTGAATAAGTTCGAGGCTGAGGTGATTGCCATGACTGCAGGAATGATGAACGGAGGTCACCCTGAGGTCTGTGGAACGCTCAGCTCTGGCGGCACGGAGAGCATCTTCCTCGCGACCAAGACACACCGCGACTACTACCGTCACAAACACGGGATTACCAACCCCGAGATCATTGCGTGTGTGACGGCACACGCTGCTATTGACAAGGCCTGTGAGATCCTGGGTATTAGGCTCATCAAGGTGCCGATGGACCCCAAGACGCTCAAGGTGGACCTGAACGCGGTGCGCTGGAGCATCTCGGCCAATACGATCATGCTTTACAGTAGTGCACCAAACTTCCCTCACGGTATGATCGACGATATTGAAGCGCTTTCGAGGCTGGCGGTGCAGAACGACGTCGGTCTCCATGTTGACTGCTGTCTGGGAGGATTCGTGCTGCCATTTGCGCGTCAATTACGTAAGGACATCCCGGTGTTCGACTTCGCACTGCCAGGCGTGACCAGTATGTCGTGTGATACACACAAGTACGGCTACGGCTCCAAGGGCACATCTGTGGTGCTGTACAAGAACCCAGAGATTCGACGATTCCAGTACTTCTCGTACGCAGATTGGACGGGTGGACTTTACGCGACGCCCACGCTTGCAGGCAGTCGTCCTGGTGCACTGAGCGCTGCGGCTTGGGCATCCATGGTGCGTCTTGGACGTGAAGGATATCTTGAGAAGACGAAGGGCATCTTGGACACTGTGGACGAGATTAAGGCTGGTATCAAACGTATCGATGGCATCCACTTACTGGGAGATCCGAAGGCGATGGTTGTGAGCTTTGCAGGTGACAAGGGTGTGAACGCACTCAAGGTCAGCGATGCGATGGCGAAGCACGGCTGGAGTCTCAGTCCGCTGCAGCATCCAACGTCTGTGCACTTGTGTGTTACTGTTCGCCACATTGGCAAGGCGAAGAAGTTCTTGAGTGCACTTGAAGAAGCTGTGAACCAAGTGAAGCAAGATCCCAATCCGTCACCCGAGGGTGGCAGTGCCATTTATGGTATGGCCTCCAGCTTGCCATCGGGACCCGTGGACGATCTTCTTCGTATCTACACCGACATCACGTTGAAGGTCTAAGAGATCAACAATGGACTGTGAGGTGCACATTTGTTTCGTTTAATATCAACAAGTTGCAGGTGTTTTATTTTATGATAACGATCTATTTTATCAGGTTAATGGGGGTAAATCCACGGCGATTTTGTTCAGTTGCTGACCTGGAAAAAGCGGTTTGCGTATCTTTGGCCCTGCCTTTGATTTCGGTTTGTCAGATTTCTTCATATAAACTTCCTGGAGTTTCTTGAGATGACCGATCTGAGTAGCTAACAGCTTCATGCAAATGCCTTTGCGTGGAGTTAAAGACATCCATAGTTCATCACCTGGCGGTTGATTTGGGTATGGAGAATCTGTAAGTTTGCTTCCTATAGAGAACATTTTGTCTTGGGGCTGTTCGCCTTGAAATTCGTACATGAAAACATTCTCCAATTCGAAAAGAGAGCGGCGCGTGTATTCCAAAGCATGAATGTCGCGTGTGAACGGTACTGGCCAGAAGACAGAATTGCCTGGTGCGACGGCCAATTCGAGAGCTCCTTGGCGCGCGTACGATACCTCCCACTTAGAATCTGTCATAGCGTTGTTGGCATGTATCTCTCCCTTCTTGGGAATCGCTCGTTCCTGTCGTGTTGCAGGATAAAATCGAGTGGTGACATACCTCACCGTCACGATATACATCTCAGGATCCCGACTGCTCGCAGCAATACGATACCTTTTTTCACCAACACCCACAAGGTTTGATTTGCGGTCGAATAACATAATGAACGGCCACGTTGATACATCTTCATCGAAGTCAGCAACGCTCTTACTTGTCGTACTCTCAGGATGCTGACTCGAGTCGTGCTGACTTTCCGTGGCTTGCGAGCTTTCAGACTCTGTCAACGGTGTTGGCGTCGGTGATATTCGTGAGATTCTAATGGACTTGAATACATTTTCTGTGAGAAGTAACTCATGCTGTGAGTGCGCAGCTAAGAAGTCCCAGAAACACAATGGCTTTCCGAGAACGCACGCGTCGCAGTAGAAGTGGGTATCTGATTTTCCTGCTGCGATGTTAGCAATAGTTTCTTCGGGTAAACTCGCCCAACGAGTGCATGAAAGGTGATACACTTGGCCACAGCCATCCCTTGAACACAGCAACGATGGTCGGTTTCGTTTTCGCCTGGATGGCTTCACTGGAATGAGCTTAGTACAGACAGCGCAAGTTCGTGATGCCAGTACTCCACTTTCGTCGTAGTGAGCAACGCTAGTTCCTGCGTTCTGTTCAGCTCCAGATGCACCACCTAGAGTTCTGCCTCTCGCCACTACAGCAGAAGCTGGGGGCGTTTTGGGGCGGAATTGGTCGGCGAGTGAACGAGTACGACCAACGTAGTTTTCAATGGCGAGGACGACACTCAGCTGGGTGGAGATGGAAGCTGTGACCAAGACATTTAGGTTTTCTCCTTCAAAATCTAGTAACACTGGCATTCCACGCTCCCCAGTTGGAGTCAGGAAGAGTTGAAAGGGTTCAAGCGGCGGGATAAGCAGGTTACTCAGCTTACGTGTCAGCTCGTCTTTTAAAACGCCGTAGATCGTCTGTGCTGTGCCAGCGCACCACAGCACAAGACAATCAGATTTTTTTTCACTTGGTATTAAATCGAATATCCAAAATTACGCACCTCAAGTTTTAGCAGCAAAGCAGGAGCCTTGCACATGTTCCAAAGTATCGCAGCCGCGTAGATCGCAACATCTGTGCCAGCGTTGTCAGCTTGCTTGACATCCAGCAATTTCAACAGGACGGGGATGCCTGTAAGTTTATCTAGGTGTTGCTGACAGTGGTTCTGCGTAGAGAAGGCTAGCAGCGCTGCAGCGCTTATTCGTGCCAGTTCTTCATCATTACTACTATGGGTATTTACCAGAAGCATAGACAGTGGACATTGGTGTCGGTGCGAGACACAATGCCACCTAGACGCCACATACAACAACAAATCTAGTCCAGATAAGTAACACATTAAAAGCAAGGCAACCATTCTGACCTGTCACAGGAGCTTGCACTCAGTCGTCCTCGCTCTGAGCGCGCTAGATTTCCGAGGATCCTGCGACCATCTCAGTGTACAGTTAGACGCCGCGTATACACTCACATAATAGATCAACTACCCAGCGCAAAGACGACATGTTCCAATATTGGTAGCATATTTAGCGATGAGCGCGACCCGACGAACACCCTGCACTTGTACAAATTGGTCTCGCAGGTGGGCATCATGCGCCAACATTAGTAGTCGCCTCATATCCACTTCCACGTCAGCTGCATGTTTTTCGCCGTCCTCGTTACGCTGAAGCAGTGCCACCAGCTCATTGAAAGCACCGTCCCCGCGTCCTTCGGCTCTTGTTGCCATTTCTACAACCAGAAGAGTTGTTCGGTACTCTGCAGTACAAAAATAAAAATTAAATAGAGCACTGTACTACTAGGGCTGAGGCGATAGCCGGAAGCGTTATTGGCAAAAAAAAAAAAAACCTTGAAAGCTCTCCTCAAACCTCCTTGAGGCTTGGGTTAAATCACGAAAAGGATAAGCAGATTTCGGAATATCAAGGTCTAAAGTAAAAATATTTGTTGCTTAGCTCTTTCCACTATTTTTCTAAAGCGGATGGAAAAGTTTCTAGGACGTTTCCAACTGCGCGTTGTATTCACACATTTTCTGAATAAGCAGCAGAATAAGCTCCAGCGAGATGATGATGTCTGTAACGAGCGCCGGGGACAGCCAGCATTTGCCAAGCCGTAGCGCTGCTTCACGCGCCAGTTCTTCTATTGCAGCACGCACACGCAGGTTTTCAACTGAGCGATAGCGCGGGTCTTAGTCCTGCTGCGCACTAAGAAGCTTTGAAATTTCCAGGGTGGCATGTTAACCAAAACTTTATAAAAAATGCCAAAATATTGCAGGGAGTTTGAAAGTGTCTACCTGCACAGTCTTTAAAAGGGCCATTTCGGTGGGGCACAAATCTTTTGGTTGTCTTCGGATGTGCATTTCTTCTTCGGATGTGCATTAGCCCTAGCCCGGATACAGACCATCATTCCTTTAAATTTAATGGCTGTCAAAATCCTTCTCCTCAGTCCAGCGTTCCAAAAAGCAGCACGGCTGCTGTATCGAGTGCCGCGATGCCGCACCGCCAACCCCACTCCAGCGACGAGAGTGACGAAGACCAAGTAAACGTTGCGTCTAGATCTAATAGCGACAGTGAATCCCGCGACAGTTCAGCCCATTTTAGCTCACGCAAGAAGAAGAAGAGACTGAGAAGACGTCCTTCCGTTCCAGATCGACCCAAATCCAAGCGAAGAAAGCAAACGCCTCATCGCATTTCCTCGCGTCACCACAAGTCTACTAGACGCAGAAATGAAAAAACATTGAACAGGCTGGACTCGTCGGCAGAATCCGAGCTCGATGAGGAATCTCCTTCTTCATTAGCATCAGAATCTGATGCTAGCAACCAATATTCGTCCGGTTCGGAAGCAGAAGGACTCGACGGTGGTGGCATCGCTCCTCTAGACGAATTAGTGGGTGTACCGGAGCTGGATGTGACGGCCTTTGACACTTGGGACGCGTTGGAGTCATATTTGAAGGCATACAGCAAGAAAACCTTCCAGGTTTGTATTATTCGCTTAGACTGCGAACCAGTTTAAGACTGTGAAACAGTTTGTGAATTTGTACTAACGGTTATTATTCTCAGATTTACACCATTCGAACAAACACTCCTGTGCGGACAAGAAATTCAAGAATGCAACGAAACATGTCTGTTGCGAAACCGATCCCAGAGGAGTTCAAATTCTACAATAAAACCTACGTCTGTACGCATTCAGGGGCTCCTAGACGAAGCGTAGGCCAGGGAACGCGGCCACATCAGCACTCCAGAAGAATTGGGTGTAAAGCACAGGTGCGATGTTTTGACTGTCCGTCTTTCGGATAAAACATTAATAATATCGTTTTGTCATGTAGATCAATGCGTGCGTGCACCTGGGCGGCGACTGGGAAGTCGTGATTACGAAGCAGAACGCCAAGCATAACCACGAAGTCGGCAGGGAGATCTACAAGAACTACCATAAAGCTCGACAGGTCTCCGATAGGGCAGTGCTTGATACAGTGCGTACTCTTCACAGGGCTGGAGCCAACAGGAAACGCATCATGGAATACGTCATGGAAAATACGGCAGCGGAGCCTACGATGAAGGACATTCACAATATCATGGAGCGATTGAAGAAAGAAAGCTACCGTTTCCCTACTATGGAGGAACGTATATCGGCTATTCTCGAGGACTTTGCATCGCAGAAAGGAAATCTTGCAAGAGTCTACGCTAATGCGGAGGTGCGTATGCTTTGAACTGGTTCGGACGATTTATAGGCAAATCTAAATGTTTATGTATGGCTTTGTGCTCCTACAGAACGTTGTTGAGTGCATCAGGATTCAGTCAGCGCACATGCGTTCCATGTTTCAGCATTTCCCTGAAGTTTTGCTAATCGATGCGACTCACGATACCAACGCATCGAATTACAAGCTCTTCAGCTTCATGGTTCACGACGCTGTGGGCAAGGGGCAGCACGTACAGGTTGGTTTTCTATTTACTGTATCAAACTGTGCTACAATCTAAGACTGTGCGACAATTTTATATTGTACTTGCAGCATTCGCTTTTGGAGAATGAGCGGAAAGAGACACTCCGAATTGCCTGTCGGCAGTTCAAAGAGGGATGCTCGTCGGTGGACGCCTTGGCAGTGATAATGATAGACAAAGACTTCACCGAGCTAGCAGTTCTGCAGGAAGAGTTCCCGGGTGTACGAATATTACTCTGCCACTTCCACGTGGTGAAGTATCTCCAGGAAGAAGTAGCCAAGGAAAAGTACAACCTTGACGCTTGGACGAAGAAGGAAATGAAGCGGTTGGTGCAGTTGTTGGTTGGTGCGCCGACGGAGACGGGTTATGACAAGATTATTGAAGCTATGAAGGTAGTTTTGCGGTGTGAGAGCAAGATTCGACTTTGGTTTGACTATTTTGACAGAAATTGGACAACGTGTAAGGAGCGATGGAGCTCCGTCTGTCGTGGCAACGTACCTCACATGGGAAACCAGACGAATAATAGGTAATTTTTCCATATATCGACTACTTTACTTCATTTACTTACTGCGTATGAATGTAGGCTTGAATCAAGCTGGCAGAAGCTGAAAACATTGGTCAACCGTTCTACTTCGCTGGATGATTGTGTGGTCTCGATCCTATTTTGGCAGACGGTGAACGAAAAACTTTGGTGTCGAGGTGTCAGCCGTATCGGCGCTTACGTTAACGTGGAATATGACGACGAGATGAACCGGCTCATGAATACCGTATCGCGGCACGCGGTGGAGCTGATAAAACAGCAGTACGATTTCGCTCTTAAAGCCGACACAGAATATCGATACTACCCAGTGGGGTCCTACGTGATGATGCATTATACAGCCCGAAGTGGTGACGACATTCCAGACGAGTATATACTGAATCCGGATGCATGGACGTGTTCGTGTATGTTTCGAGTAACACGACTCCTGCCTTGCCGGCATATCATATACTACCGGAAGGTCACTGGATGTTCAAGTTTGGTCCCCAAGGAAATCATACACCGACGCGGGCTTTTCAAAAACTACCGGAAATTGGGTAACGGCGAGATCGCAGAGGATGAAGTAGTAGAATCCTACGAACACAGACCAGTGCCATTACCTGTCTCGACACGTGCTAAGAATCAGAACGAGAAATTCAAGGAGTTGTTGGGTATCGGGAGACAAATTGCTGATGTCGGTGCCCACCGGGGGACGAAGGCGCATACAAATCTCTGTGAATCTCTGAAACCATATCTGAATCGGTGCCCCAAACTCAAAAGGTGTCACAGTCTAGCACTGGGACACAGACCGAAGCACCTCAAGATAATGATGCTGCCGGCGAGGGTCCAGTGAATTCTGACGTGGAAGGGCTTGTGGAGGGACTCGTGATCCCAAGTGAAACGGACCAACACGTAGAGTTATCTCCTAATGGGGAAGCTTTGCTATCTTTCATGGAAGATTTTGAAGGTGAAAGTTTAAATCCAGCCCATTTAGAAGACCGCATAAATCGCAGAGGCTCTCATGGCGAGACAGAGACTGAGGAAGCTACGATTACAAGCTCAGTTATTTTATCGAAGCCCGTGGTCCTATCTGGAACTGTTGAAAGTTCTGAGGATGTGACACAGTCTCAGTCTGGACAAGAAATTCAGTCATCGGACGGCGAAATATCGCCAGACAGCGAAAAGAGGCCACCCGTTCGTCCCCGGTGGATGATTTCCAAGACCACTAACAAGTCAGGTCGTGTGAAAATCTCTGCTGCAACCCGCAGGAAGGCCATAAATAGCAATCTCAACCAGAGTGCTCGCTTTGTAGAAGCAGTGGCGGCGGGGTTAGATCCATCCGTCGGTGTTCTACTAGAGGCGATTCAGGCTGGTATCACGTACAGGCAGGTCGAAACGTTGCGATCACTGACGATTCTCCAGCAGACGCGCAACACGAAGATTACAGTATTCGAGCGTCGAAACAAACCGGAAACGAACGCATACAAGTTAAGAACCGTGTTGCCTTTGAGGAGAATTGAGTCGTGTGAAGCCCAAGTTGCGCAGTTTCAAAACCGCTGATCGATTTACTGAACAATGTTGACGTACTTGGGTATTTCTACGAAGCTACAAGCTTTTGCGGACGAACGCCTCTGGACAGTACATGTATGGACCTCGGGATGCAGGCAATTATAACGCGTTTTGAAGATCAAGCTACAATTTTCACGGTCCCTTCAGAAATCCTACGTTTCCCCCGCTATGATACCAAGGGCATACAAGAGCTCTCAGTTTGGAGCAAGCTGAAGGTGGCGGCGGCGAGTATGGATTTGTCAAGAGACTCAGGCGACAATTTATTCTTTTTTGGAGCTATTCACTACGACTGGAATCATTGGTGTGCTGTTGGGATAAGCTTCAGCACGTGCGAGGTTGTGATTTATGATCCACAAAACACTGGTGACCGATTTGACGCAATTCAAGGGTTTCTGAAGGCACAAGTACTCCCGCTGTTGCCGACTCCAGAATCGCCTAAGCGGTTTCGGTTTTCAAGGGTCGATCTGGTGCCCCAGTTGGACAATTACAATTGCGGTGTATTTGTCCTTCTTTTCGTTGAGCTCCAACTTTATGGAGTGAATGCCACTGGCCTGGGTAGTGAAAGCGGTATCAGAGAAGCGATGGAATTCTTTCGGTACAGATACCTAAGTCTTGTCTTATCGTCAATGTAACCTTGTTTTGTTTTGGCGTTAAGATATTTTTTGTCAAAGATCTTTTATAAAAAGACTGATCCCTACAGTTCTGCATACATATGAAAGCCTTTACGAATAGGTAGTGGCACTGCGGTGACTGGAGCGAGGACGAACACCGTGCTGATGCCGCTCGAGTGGTGCTTAGAAATTATTAAACAGTCAAGTTGCTGCCACACTCACTGACAATCACTCTGGTTTCTTCGTACGCTCATGTATCGAAGATGCACCTGCTTTGGTTCTCTGACGTGCTAGCCTTTCCTACTACATGGATCAGCTATCTGATCGAAGAGAACATAATATAGCCAAGACTGTGCATCAGCTGCACAGTCTAACTTTGAGACTGTGCAGGTAGTCTCTGCCCAGGGAGTTGAGATCGATGGAAGAATGGTGGTCGTACCGCCCTACAAAAATGGAGGGGTAGGATAGACGTGAAAGGACGACGGACGTTTTTGAATACAAATTTCAAGGCAACAATCGAAGAATAATCGCCTGCAAGCTGCTCTGCAGCACTTCGTACTGCTATCCCAGCATTAGTGTTGGCAGATGCATGCATCGCTGCCATAATGCAGTGCATCCGATGCATCGCCGCCATAATATTCATTGCATCTGGCCGCGGCTAAAAATAGATTTTCGTTTACGCAAGCTACAAATTCTGTAAGCTACAAATTCTGTTTTTGCTCTTCACTACCTTCGAACGAGAACGCGTTGAAGTCGCTGCCCTCACTTCGATCTCCGCTGCTCTCCATGGATTCATCGTGCCGCACGTACCCGCAACTGATTCATGTATTTCAACCTGTAGTCATCATGTAAAAGCACAGGCGCAGAAACTGGACGAACACAGCGCAGGAGAGTACGGGAAGTAAACAGCGCACGATGTGGACCTCAATTCGAAAACAGAAACTAAAAACAGACACTATTTTGAGGTCATCACATGCTAATTGTGGTATATTTCGAAGTGATAGTCTCCAATTTGAGCGAAACCACCTTACAGACTTGTGTTAAAAATAAATTAGAAAAAGCTGGACGCCCACATTATCAATTTTAGCAGTAAACAATCTTTTCATATATCTTGTATGGTAGTTTTCGCCCTTTATTATTCCTTTGCAAGAATACGCCTCAGAAACTCTATTTATTAGGCACAATGTCGGACGGGTGTATAGCATCACGCGAACTAAGGCCCTCAGCCTGAAGGATAATGAGCGCATGTGTGGACAGGCGAAACCACCATGACTGTTCTGTTTTGCTATCTGGGGGTATTAATGCCTGCTACATGTAATTGGTTATCTTAAAAAAATGGTAACTCTGAGTATCGGCTAGTCACCGATGGGTCGTAAGCAAAGGTGACCCCCGACTAGTTTTGCTTACGACCACGTTCAGGTATCAAAAGTACTGTAAACGGCCTGGTGCCTTAAACCTATTAGCACCCCTATCCTGAATTGATCCTCAAAAAGCCTCGCCTGCCTTCCTTTCATTACGTTGCGGGGGATTGTCGTCCGTATGCTGCTGTTTGGCGCCACAAAAGTCAAGTAGGGGTGACATTATCTAGACCATTATTAAGGGATATGTCCTACAACATGTGATTTGCCACCACATTCTGCATTTTTCAGCCTTCGACACAAGCCAGTTTGTTTCATTCCCAGAGTCTTACTACTGCAACTGAGACTACAAAGATGCTCAGAGCGGTAAAGCTGATCAGGCAGCGCTGCTACTTCAGGTGCTTCAGTGTAATGCATCGGTGAACGGTGAGATCAATATAAACTTTCAAAACATCAGCTCACTTCAAACGACAAGCTGGGGACCGTTGCCTGTAGTGGGTTTAGAGGTTGGATAGCCTCATACAGCTCATCGGCAGTGGCAGGGTTGACACTGCCAACCTTCGAGTGAATGGCTGGTTGAGAGGCTTGTTGGTCCGAGCTGGCAGATAGCGTAGTAGAATAGAAAGAGTAACAGTTTGTGTTTTGCTTAATACACCAGGCAAGACGTGAAGGGAGTGCCAGCTCCCCCATTTTGGTGTTCATTTGCGAGATCCACCACAAAGTTAACTTTAGTAACCGGTTGATCATGGAAAGCGAAGCTAAAGGCAAAGCTGGATCGACAGCAGTATCGGTTTTCGTTCCACTCGTTGCGCCGATGATCGAGAGTACATCGCACGCAGCGTCAGTGAATGGAAGCGAAGAAAAAAGCAAGGAGTACGAGCAGGAAGTGGCCATCCGCTGCTGCCACGACCCCAAGCAAATTTCAGCCGTGACGACAGACATCTGCAGCTTGTTCTAGCCGAGCTTGCTGGAGGTTCTGTGCGACCTGGAGTGGAAATTGACAAGAAAGACCTGACCAATGAGCTACTTCTGGGCAAGATCGATGATATCCTCACCACAGTGAAGAACAACACGGTGCCAACGTTGCGGCTGAGTTCAAGGTTGCAGTACGGATGAACTTGCAGGAGTCAGATGTACGCGAGCGGGTAGCGCAATACTTTCGATCTATTCGCCAGGTGATTGAAGAAAATGGCTGGTGCAAATTCTTTATTGATCAAGGTCTGAAGTTGAAGTGCAAATTACTAGTCGCGTCTCTTGAGCCCCAGGCACTGCGGGAAGAGATAGAGTCCATTCTGGCATATCAGAATCAGACTGCGTGTAGTGATGAAAAGGTGCTTTTCAAGACCATTTTGGAGAAAGCTCTTGAGCATGGAAGAGACTTTCAGCGCCGTAAGCGGCAACGCAGTTCATCTCGAACCGGGGGAAAATTGTACAGTTCAAGGGAAGTGAGTCGCTCAAAGAAAAAAATAGGGCAAAGGACAGTGACGAACTAAAGCCTGTCCTGCAACAACCACAGGATAGTAGAAAGCAAGGTCGGAGCGTCCAACAGGGACCTCCCAAGACAGGAGCTGCAAATCCGATCGGTGGTTGCCTAAAATGTAAGGGGACCATTGGTTAGTGAAGTGCCCAGTTGCGACTCACGACGAGAAGGCCGATATATTGCGGCAACAGCATGAGCGGTGCAACCGTGTGAAGGCTGACCGCAAAAAGATCGCCCACGATTGAAGTGTTAAGCGCATTAATGAGTGCCTGCCTGCTGTTAAGCTAGTTGAACTAAACGGAGTGCACTCGATGCCCTTTTGCGCTGATTCAGGGACAGATACAAGCGTTATCAGCAGGATAAATCTCAGACCCCAATTCCGGTCCGGCAGCAGTAGTGTGGAACCTCCATGAGGTGCTGCCCCCGCCCGTGGACGGTGTCTTCCACGCCGTAGTGACAGATAGGCTCTACACGTCAGTACAGCTTGCGCTGCAACTGCTGGGCCGAAATGTGTACATATAATGGGCTCACTATGTGCCCAATACTTCGGCTTACACGTTAGCGCACGTGTATGAGGAAGCGTAGTTTGCTTTAACTTAGATTAACTATACTTACGTCTCGTAAGTATAGATTTACTTAAATAAGAAAGCAAAAGCTGATTTACCGTAAAATTGAGAACTGTTATTTAAGTTTATGGGGTTCCTCCAAAAGTGATATTCTAAATGAAAGGTATTTGCCAACGAGTGGTTGGCAGAATCCTGCTAAGCTAATTGGTTGAAAGAGATCGTCTTTCAACCAATAGGAAGTCTAAATGCACACAGACCAGTGGTCTGTCAAATGTAACCATTGGTGTATCTCACACCAATGTGAAACCCATTGTCGTAACCAAGTAGCTACATGTAGCCACTTGCGTGTAACCCCGTTACAGTACAGCATTGGTACCATTCAGCCTAACAGAGTTGGGTATCCGACGGAGGTGACGGTAAAGTCGAAATCGCGCCCGCATGGAGTTGCACGAGGCACTACGAAGATGGCTGTTGCAAAAGCGGTCCCAGAGATGACTGCGCTACTCTGGTGGGATTCGAAGCCGGCGAATTAGCTTGCAACTGGTGGGAGCAGAGCAATGGAGACTTGCGGTAAGGTTCCGTCTGCAGCATTTTGATTTTCAGGTTCTAACATCTTGTTTTATGTATGTGGTTTGATATATATATACAGAGCGGCGCTTACCCGGTGGAAAGAAAATGGTCGTGCCTTGCCCATCCATGATGCGTGACTATCAGCGGTGGATGGGCGGGGTCGACATTCACGACCAACTGCGCCTCCAGCGCTATTCTGTACAGCTCTCGGTGGTGTTTCGCAAGTACTACAAGACGATCTTTCTTGGCCTGGTTGATATGGCCATTGCGAATGCATTTATCATCTTTAGAGAGGCGCGGAAAGTGAATATCGGCGAGGGATCAGCTGATCACGCTAAGTTCATGCGCATGCCGCAGGCACAGATGCTGGAGCTGAAAGATAGCGACTTTGCTGACGTGATACGTGGCTTAGTTCACATGCTTGTCATGTAATAAACTAATTGACCTGTTCTTACTTGTAGGCAATGTCACCAGCACCGCCAACACCGAGCACCCAACCACGTCCAATCTCCAGCGAGCACACGCTCACTGTGTCCCCAAACTGGGACTCGGTCAAAATCCGTGTGAAAGGAAAAGAATGGTAGAAAGCGTCCCCAGCACCAATGCAAAGTGTGCTCTTTGCGCAAGCGCGACAAGAAGGAGCGGTGCGCTAGCCGTTTCTACTGCGAAGCCTGTAGCGATGGAGAATCACGGTAAGTAAGCTCGTTAGCTACACCATTCGCTCAAACTCTAACGCGTACATGCAGAATCTACCTGTGCGATCGTGTGCGGCCAAAACACTACCCTGGGAACAACTTGACCTGTTTTCAGATTTGGCACTCCAAATGGAAAAATGGGAGCGAGCGGCCGCGTCCACTCGTCGGCCGCGACATCCAGATGCGTGGGCTCGGCAAGAAGCGCCGTCGCCCGAGCTCCGGTGACGAAGACGAGGAAGCTGATGAGGAAGACGGGTCGGAGTAGCTAGTCTTAGCAAGCCTGTGAGTTTTCTGTAATGCCTTACGGCTAAGAATAATACGTGCCTTGCGCACCAACTGCATACTAGCTTGAAATCTTAGCAACACGTCTAGCTTTTGCCAAACGATCTTCCACAAAACGTGCAACTTCAGTAAAAAGGGCATTTCGTGAACGACATGTATACAACATGTTCTGCCATTGCCTCACGGCGTTGTTGTCATTGTCAACATGCTCGGATAAAGCCGTGCGACTGCACTGTCCGTTGTCATGGATCCAGTTCAAAAATGCAGAAACGGACGTCCGACTTAAATGGAACATACAGATTTCTAGAGTAGACTGGCTTTAAACAGAGATGAGATCGATGGAAGAATGGTGGTCGTACCGCCC